TGTTTGCGAAGTGACAAAATTTTATTAATTATATATGAATACAATTTATACGTATTTCAACTTTTTAGTAATAAGGTAAACATTATTAGAATTTAATTTTCGTGTTTAATAAACGACAACCATAGCACGCTCATTAACCAAGTCCTAATAAGTCGCACGAATTAAGTTATTATTATTAGTGTTAGCTGAATTCTAATTAATTTTTGTTGAAAATTTGTTGTCAGGAATGGTTGTCAGGATGGTTTGTCGGGATTTTGACCCAAACAATTGAATTACATACATATGCAGTTACGTATTAAAATGCTTGCATAACAGTTTTTAACAATTACTAAAATTATTATTAACTAATATTAATTGTTCTATTATTAACTAACAATTCAGTAGTCCCATCACTACATGCATTATAGAGCATGCACTTAGAGAGGTCTTACTATATACTGGTATAGTATAGTACTGTACCAGTATATAGTAAGACATATCTAAGTGCATGCTCTATAAGTGCACACTCTGTAAATTCTCTCTAAATGCACAGTGTATTTATAAAAAATATATATTATATATTAACCAATACAATTATTTAATTATTAATACAATACAATTATTAATATGTATTATTGTTCTAAATAATGTGTTTATGAAATTATTAATACTCATTTTTATTAATGTTTATTTTAAGATGGTTGAAAATGATAAATAATTTTTTTTTAGTGTATACTTGTATACTCAATTACCTTAGCACATTGATTTAAGATTGATGCCTGATTTTATGTAATGGTTTTAAACAATTACACATGGATTTTCAATCAATGTGTTAAGGTAATTGAATATACAAATATATAAGTGTATAAGTATATATTTAAAAAAAACTATTTGCTATTTTCAATTATTCTGAAAACAGCAATAAAACAAGTATAAAAAGAGTTGAATTTTCATCTTTGTTCAATTAAAAAATATTTCTATTTACTTATAAAGCAATAAAGAAACTTAAAATAACATCACAAACATTATATCATTGGTCCAAGCAAGAAAAAATTGAATTCAAGATATTAGAGTTGGGAACAAGATTGTATAAAGTTTTGAAATACTTTTCTAAAAAATAACATAATACTCATACTACCTATATTAACAAAAAGAATTATTTATACATGATGATTTTAATTAAAAATAATAATAGACCTCAAAAGGCAAAAAGAAATTCTCAAATTAGACATTAACTTTAAATAAAAAGGTTTGTAAATCTTATTCAAATAACTAAACAAAGATCTTATCATAGAGATTGTTACTATTCATTAAGATTAATTATGTTAATTTATATACAAACTCTTCAAATATGTATTTTTTTTCCATACTACAAAACTTATAGTTTTTTTAACAATTCAATGACTAATAAATATAAAATATCTTTATTGTTATTACTATTATTTATCAAATACAAAAAAGAATAGTAATTAAACAGAAAAAAAAGAAAAGAAAAGAAAAAAATACTAACAGTAAAAAAAAATAAAAAAAAAGAATGAAAATATAATTAGAATATTGAATATAAAATTGTATCTGAATCCTGATAGATGAGATTGATGCAATTAATTTATAACACAATAATTAACTATCTTCAAAATAGACAGTTTCTAATCATATACATAGATAAAAAGAAGAATAAATATAAAAATAAAATAAAATTTTCAAAAATACAATTTCTAAAAATGATCATATACTTGAAATTAAAAAACAAGAAAGCCTATAATAATATATCAATTAGCATAATTGATGAAACTGTGGATGAAACTGTGAAAAATTTTAATTCGAAAGATAACAGAACCAGGTTGAAGTTTAAAATCAAGAAAAACCTAAAGCATACTATTACTTTATATACACAAAATTTCTTAAAAAAAGAATAAAATTGATTCTTCATAACATATAACACTAAAAAAAAACTAAATGATTACAAAAAAAGTTTAAAAGATCTAAAAGCTTTGCATTTCAAGATCAGAAAAAATAAATAACAATTGTAAACTTATGTATTTTAGAAAAACTGATGAGTGGATTCTTTTCTAAGTTCACAAATGACAAAAATAGTCAAAAAATATATAAAAGGTTTATGGCCATCAATTCAAGAGTAAGAACCCTATTCATTATATACTTACCATTTGAAGGTACTTGTGAAATAGAAAAAATAATTATCAGAGGTTGCTAAGATTAGAATATCATGCTAACAAACTAAATTCTAAAAAGATACATCATGAAGTTTGTTGAAATATTTGCTAAATATTTATAAAATATCTGTTTAATATTTAATAAATACTTATTAAATATAAGGTATATTGAAAATACAATTACAAATACTTATTTAAAATACTAATAAATATTCAAAAATTAAATATTTAATAAATATAAAATTTAATATTAATTAAGTATTTAAAATTTTAAATACTTAAACAATATTAAATTTGAATACTTATTTAATATTCCTATTTGTCAAATATAAGGTTGTGTTTAGTTTAATTTTGTGATGTAAGTTAAACAATTCAAATTCCAAAAGAAAAAAAAAAAGCTATAAGAATTGATAAAGCTATAGCTTGAATATTTCAAAAAATCAAGAATTTAAGAAATGAACTTCATAAAAAAACTGTAAATTATCTTATAAAGAATTATAATGTGGTTATAATTCCGGAATTCAGCGCGAAAAACATGGTAAAAAGAGAAAAAAGAAAGATCAGATCCAAGGTCGTGAGAAGTATGTTAACATGATCACACTATAGGTTTAGACAACGGCTGAAATCCAGAGCAGAAGATCTGGTCTAAAGGTAGTGATCCAAGATGAGGTTTACACTTAAAAAACATGCTCGTGGTGTGGTAATATACAAGATATCGGTGGTAGAAAGATTTATAAATGTAAAAAATGTAGTTTAATTATAGATAGAGATGTAAACAGAGCACGAGGGATCTTCCTTCACGCGTTGCTTGATGGAGCCATATGCATGCATATGTAGGAATTGATATCTTTACTTAGCAATGACTAGTATCGTTTATCAATGATGTATTACAATCCATCCGATCTTAAAAAAACGTGCTAATAATCGAGTGTACGAATTTATGAATAACAGCTATAGTTAAAAAAGTTATACGTATATGTACGTACGCAATAGCACCTACTTTTCACTATATATAGTAAACTTGAAATTGTTAATGACTTTTTTTAAAACAAGCTACGTACGTATAACAAAAACACTAACAAATTAATAGATTTTTGCTAAACTATAAAAAAAGTTAGTATTAGATAAAAGAAAGGTAGCCCCTTAAGAAATAAAATTATCCGATTTAATTATAACATTATAACTAATTACAAATTACCAAAAAAGTATTTTTGAATAAAAAAATTTTATTACACTATATATTACGCATGTATGTATTATTAAAATTTTATATTTAGATTGTGTTATATTTATGCTTTACAACTACGTACGTATTAATTTTTTTTTTTTTTTTGCATTTGCTACATACCTATTTGCATAATTTATAAGGTTTTTATTAATAGTTATTATACTGTATAAAAAAATATTTGCAGTTTGTCGTAAAAAGAAATTTTTGTTCAATCATGATACGTACGTATTGCGAATTATCTTTTTTTAAATATGCAAATTTATGAGCTAACCCGATCACAGTTTAATTCATTAAAGGCAGCACAAAGAAGAAAAAGAAATTTCTTATGCATTAACAAAATTGAAAGTTGGTTAAACAGTATCAACCGTCACACCAAGTAACTAGATAAGAAACATAAATCAACATAGCTAACTCTAAATATATAATTCTAAACAAACACATACACAACGCTTTTTGAACATAACAAACGAAAATAATTACAATTGTATCTAATGACATCATAGTAAAACTATTTAAACTTTTTAAATAACGAAACCTTTTTAGTATTTGAATTGAATATTTGAGCCATATTAATATATCCAGATCCTAGAGTTTGGATCCAAATAATACCTAGTGTATTTCATCTGGTTCCGCCCTATCCATTCGAAACCTCTACGTGGAACCTTTCCGGGTACGTACGTACGTACGTTAGCAATTATTAATATATACGAATTAGTAAATTAAAATAAGCCGGAATTTACCCAGGATTTATTTATTAATTAATCTAATTCTGTAATTATATTAAAAATCCTTATGTAAACAATGGATCTAAGCAAATTAAGAATAGGCGACAGCAATAATGATCAATAAAAGCCTCAAGTTTGTGAGGAAAGAAATAGCCTATCTAAAGACAGGTTATTTAACCTGAAATAATGCGTATATAGGCATTTGTGATTGATCACATGACTCGGCATTTTTTCGTACGTAATTCGAGGGGGGCACTGCAATCGACTGAGCAAATAAAAAAAAACCAAATTCATTGAAATTATTGGTTTTTTATTAATAATTACTGAAATTTTTGTGACTGAAAACTGTGCACACTTGTTAGTTAACAGGATTTAATTTATTCGTGTTACATTTGGCAGTTTTATAACACAAAATAGGGCAAAAAAAAACACAACATTAAACTTTGAATAAATGTAAAAATAATTATTATGGAAAAGATCATTGAATACATGGTCGTACACCGTAAGAGGCTTTTTACGGATTTTCCTTTTAAAGGTCATGTTAAATTCTTTAATATAAATAATTCTTAAAGTTCTAAAATACGCATTTCAATTCCATATATTACATTTATACGTTCTTTTAATCAATACTCCAACTTATAATATTCTTTTCTCATTTCACGATTGAGTAAAATACGACAAGGTATCATTTGTAAACCATATTACATTAAATTACTGACGATCCATTTTTAACGATTTTCTGTCGATTTTCTGTCGATTTTATAGCGATTTTCCAGCATATATCTTGAATATTCTGACTTCTCTTCATTTATCAATTATACTTTTTGCACAATTGATTTGTGCTAACCTTGGATACCCGTTGTAATATAATAATACACTTTTAAATACTTATCTCAAATGGTCGTTCAGTTAAAATTTGAAAATTCGTTTTGGACAGCAGGAAATTATCAAAAAGGGATTAATATTCTGTATGATAAATTAGATCAAGGTAATGTAGAAAACGATGAAATCATAGAATTTCTTAAGGTTTGTATTATTTCTACGTATAACGGAATATTTAAATTATATACATATATATATTATATATCTATATTTTATTTATATATATACATATATTTATTTATTATTACTAAAAATTTAATTAACAAAATATTTCACTTATAGGAAAGGATAGCGGTAGAAGAATTATACGGCAAGAAATTGTGTGATCTTTCTCAAATAAGTAATCGACCGAATGGCTTTCAACGTGATGATGGGGCTTCTTTACGACGTTCATTTGAAATTGTAAAACAAGAATGTGACCAATTAGGACAGGCTCATTTACAAATGGCTAATAACTTGTCAGATTTAGTGCTTAAACCTTTTCTCAAACAAAGTGAAGATTATAATAAAAGTCTCAGAGCAAGTAGAGAAGAAATAACGGGTTATTTAAAATTATTTGATAAAATGATTAATGAAGTGGAGAAATCTCGAACGAATTATATAACAAAATGTCAATTGGCTGAAGAAGCTGATAAAATTTCGGCTTATGAAGAAGAAACTCGTTCAATATCAGAAAAAGATATACAGCAAGACCAATCATTAACGGTCACACTTGGGAAATATTTGTTTTCGGAGGAAGAAATAATGCAATTTCTTGCAAAAATGCGTGAAGAAATTCCTTATAAAGAAATTAAAATACCTTTCCTTGGTACTTATAATGAAGCTTATTCTGGTGAAGATATTACAGATTGGCTAACAAGAAATCATCCTAATACATTGTCATGGGAGGATGCTGAAAGTATTGGTCAGGAATTGGCTGATCAAGGTTTCCTAAAGCACATTGGTGCTATTGGAAATTATTTTGTTAGCACTCCTGTTGCTTATTTTCAATTCAAGAATAAAGCATTTAATCTCAGAGATACCGAAGAAGTTAACTCTGGAATAGGTTGGAATGGGTTGATATATGCAATTTCAACTAATCAACCTTCAGAAAAAAAACGTTTTCGAAAAGAAGCCGATGAAGCTGATGAAGCCTATCGACATGCAGTAAGAAGGTTGATTTCTAAGAAATATTTTGGTCTTTTATTTCTCTTTATATATATATACCCTTATATAATGTAATGAATTTCTTATTTAATAGATTAGACAGAACTCGGCTATTTCTTGAAGAATCTATGGTATGTTCTCTGCATAAACTTTATTTACCGTAGTATTAATTATTAATAAAGTTTGATATCTGATGTTTGTTTTAATAATAGATGGATCAAATGAACATTATGGAAAGACGTGAATTCGACCGTATAAAAGCTTCAAAAACAGGTATATTATATATTTTTAGTACTTTATTTTTTCATACATTAAAGAAGTTGAAACTCAAACAAGTTATTATATTTTTTAAAAACAGCTTTTCTAAATTATTCTACCACATGTACCACTGTGGTTTCTTCTCAACTAATGTCAGAACGTTTACTGATATATCACGAAGCATTAAAACCTGAGAAAGAGATCCAATTTATTATACAGCATTATCGTACCGGTCCATTTAACCCTAAGGTCGTTCTTTATACTAATAAATATAATGGAAGCGCTAGTGGTACTTATTTATTTTAACCTTGCAATTAATAACATAATGCTTAATGGTATATAATTTTAAACAATGATAAAATGATTTTTATAGATCAAACTTTTGGAGTTCCACTAGCTGAAAAAGCTCAAAAAGATTTAAAAGCTGTTCCTCAAATTGTTACCAAATGTCTTAGTTGTATTACTAAAGGTAAATAAAATAAATTAGTTATTATAGAGTTTGGAACCGGTTTTATTTTTATATGCTAAAATCGGATAAAAGCCTGATTAAAACCGGTTTAGTATATGAAAACTAAAACCAGTTCCATATAAAAAAGGAATAAATCATTTAAATAAATTTGACAATTTGACAATTTGACATAAATCATTTAAATAAATTTGACTATATTATTATGTAGGTTCATCCGGGTGGTGTAATTCAGGTATATTTTATTATTATATATAAATGAATCCCAGGGTCAAAGTTATTTACTTACACATATTCCTATTATAAAGATAGAAAACTTTTATGGGTAACGAATGTACCTTTAGCCGCGGTCCATGCTCTTCGTGAAGAAATTAATGATGGTACATAGAACATATATGTTATAATATGAACCTTAATATATATTTTTTTTCTGGAATCTCGATTTATTCTTTTTTTTTTTTTTTTTGAATTAGGTTCAAAGGTTACTTTAAAGAAATTACGAGAGTATGACTTGGCTATAGTTACTGGAGTATTGAAATTGTACTTTATGGAACTACCAGAGTGTCTACTTACATTTAAGCTTTACGATCCTGTAAAGCTGTTATATTCGTTGAGTTAGTATGCCATAATAATTACGAAAAAAACTGCATATGAACATTTCAATTAAAATAATGCCTTTGAATTCTATTATCAGGTCTTGATGAGCAGGATGAGAACATGCGCATAACAACTATTTCAAAACTTGTTACGTCACTTCCGCAAAGGAACTATGAAACTTTAAATGTTCTTATATCACATTTGCATAGGTAGTTATTTTTCATTTATAAATATCTATATATATATATCATTCTAATTGATATTCTTTTTAGTCTTATAACGTCGGTAGAAGCGGATGATGTCTATATTACGACGCTTGCACAAATTTATGGATATATATTATTATATCCATGTCTCGAGGAAAAAAATGACGAGAACAATGAAAAAAAAAGTGTGGGAATGGTGTATCTTAATGACAGGCATCCATATCGTCTAGTCAAGGATTTGATAATTCATCATGACAAAATTTTTAACCAACAGGATACAATTACCACTTCAAGCATTGTTGCTGATGTTATGCGACGTTCGGAAAGTCGTGAATCCATTCACTCAACCAGGTCAAGTCGGTCTACCTTTTCTAATAACAGAGATAGTTTCAGAGATAGTATTACGACAAATTCTGTTACAACCTCAATGATGACTGTTGAAGAAGATCAAGAAAGTGAAGTCAATGATGAATATGAAATCCCAATTGATGATAAAATACCCGAAGTTACTGACGTGACAAGATCCAGAGGTGATTCTGTGAACTACGGTGCAGAACATTCTGCATTATTACGTGATAAATTATCTAGGCTTAGTTCATCAGAAAGTATTGAATTTTCAAGACCATTTACACCACAAAGCCCAATTTCTCGACCAATCGGGCCTCGTCCAAATCCATCAAAAGAAGATAATCACAGTGGAACAAGTTCACCAAGAGATAGCTACTCTGTGTCTAACAGCCTGAGCCGTCGACGAGGAATAAGAAGGTATAGCCGTATGTCATCACCTTCAGGTAAATCACGAAATCAAAGCAGTAGTAGTTCTGAAAGAGAATCATTCAGACACCAACAAATTGATGATGATGAGAATGGATCAGACTCAAGCTCTAATCTATCTTCACCTGAATCACCATCACTCCGGTTTAATACAACACGATCGCATTCTCGTCCTAGTTCGGATATATTTGTTTTACAAAAACAGGGGTTACTTGTAGATGAAGAATTGGAATTTGTTCCTATTTCACCAACACATCATCCCAAAGCTCATTATTATAATGATGATTAGGCATTAAATTAAGGTTAATTAAGCATTTTTTTTTATTTGATCTATTTTATCTAATTTGTAAAATAATGGATTTAGGTCAAATTGACATTTTACTACTTTTAGTTTTCGTATATATAGATATTTTTATTTAATAAATTTATGAACTTTAAACATCATGTTTATAACATCATTTTTATATCATGTCTATAACAACATAGTATGTCATATTTATAATCAAATATCTTTTCGTTTCAAACAGCATCAAAAAAAAAAAAAAACTATTAATTCATTAATTAGAGTAAATTTATTAATTAGATCTTAGTATAAAGGGTAGGAACAAAGTGATAACACTAAAATTTAAGTGGTTTGGACTGTAATTATCCTAAAAAAAGAAACTGTTATAAATCTAATATATACTAGATAAGTAGTCATATGACTAGGATGGTGTTTTGAAACTATAAATAGTAAATCACGATATTTCCACACACAGGAAGTATAGTACAAAAATTGCATCTCGCATAAATGCTTTCTCCATTTAAGAAAAACAATCAATATTGATATTTTGTGATCTTTTAATCTGGAGGCTTGAAACATATTGTAGTTCCAAAAAGTTTATGCATCCCTTTGTTGAATAAAACTGATGAAACAACATTATCCCTAGGGATGAAAAATGTTCATGCATGCATGACTCCTTCCCCCTTTCCTATCATAGATAATTGCTACAATTTAACGCCTATCATTAATACTTGATGTATAAACATCTACATTAGCTTATAATAATCCCATTAAAGTAAAATATGTAGAAACAAATGAATGATAACTTTTCTCAGTAAGGTTCATAATAATGCATATCTAATCAACAAAAAAAAATATACAGAAAGAATATCCAAGAATTCAAAGGGCGTAAAACTGAGAATGTCCAAAAACAACCAAAATAATGGCCAACAAATCTAGAGAACCTAGAAAACCGTTCTACTGACCCTTCATTTAGCCCATTTTTGTCTTTGTTCTACTTCTTTATGAAAGACCTGTCTAACATGTTTCAAATCTTTAACACCACCGCGTTTGATCATATCCTGAACGACTATAGGTATTTCATATTTCTCAAATTTCAATTGATTATGCTTGATCAATATCGCCATCGTTTCGTAAAGACGGTATTCACGTAGTTTATAATATAGAGCTCTGATGACCGATTCATTGATGGTTTTAAATCCAAAGAGATCACTTACATCGATTGAAGGAAAAGATGAAGTAATCTCGATATCAAATTGATCACATACAGAACACGTATCAACATCGGATAATTCACCACCAAAAATTTCTTCGTAATCATGATTTAATTCACGGTTCACATTTTCTTGCGAACTTTCACCAGGTGCATCTTCAGATACGATCGTGGCCGAATCACCATCAGTATCATACATTCTATTTAACTTGGCCAGAATAAAGCGAAAAGGACTGCTAACGTAGCACAAGATGTATGAGTGTTTTTTAACTGTAGATTTGTGCGATTATCAGTAAATGGTAAACCTTAAAAATAACGTTAAAAATTACTTTTTTACTATTTCTGTATTTTACGGCATTCCCGAAACTCTCCATAAACATTTCCGTAACTTCCCTATAAATTTTGGCCAAGATTATGAATCATTGGTGAATTCTGCACTAGTGTTACCACCTTACGTAAAAAAATTTCTCTGTCCGATCATCAGATGCAACACAAATTGTTTTCAACTGTTGCACACTAACAAAGGTTTATCTTGTGCCATTGAAACCTTAATAACGAAAACATATTCCTAACCTAACGGCAAAGCTAAAATTTTTGGATTGATAACGCTAGAATCCCAAAAAAGCTAAAATTTGTTTGTTAACCAAAACTTTAAAATTATATAGTATTTGTTTTATGAGTACTAATAAATCCTTTTTTGCATATTACTAAAAAAGATTTTTTATAACATTAATGCAATTATACAGTTATATAGTATAATTTTTTTTAAAAAAAAGAATCTAAAAAACGCACCTATGGTGTTTTGCACCTATTATACAGTATGTTTTTATTAATTTTTTTAAGTTTTTATAA